CCTTGCGCCGTCTGGAGGGGGGGCGGCGACGGGGGGGGCGGGGAAAAGCGACTCGGCACAAGGAGCTGTTGGCGGCCAGAAAGCGCCCGCTCGTTTCTCATCCTTTTTGCAACGTCTCACCACTGACGAAGGATGGGACAAGTTCTTGCAGTCCAAGGGCTTTTCTCGCAAGCAGTGCGACAACATCGTCGGTGGGCTCAACGACGCTGCGCAGAAGAAGTTTAAGTGCACCCCTTTTGACGACCCGATGGGCACCTCTGCCGCAGCGGCCGATCGGCCGTCCGTTTAGCAGGAAGGTGCAGAAGACTTGGTCGATCAGCACCGCCAATGTCGGTGGGCAGGTCGGACTCGACGCGTACCTGTCGGAGTCTATTTACAGCGATATTCTTTTGTTGCAGGAGTCCCGCATGCTGCCCGCTGCCTCTCAGGTTATTGAGTCCAAGATGCGTGCTGCGGGTTGGTCGGCCACTGCCACGGCTGCGCTCCCCACTGCTGGCAATCCTTCTGGTGGGCTGGTTACGGCGTCAGTTGCTCGTGTTGGGATAGCGCCGCTCGAGAATTTCGGCAGTCAGGTGGTGGCCGCACGTGCTGCGGCGTTGCATGTGGGAGGCATGTTGCGCGGCGGCTTCCTTGTCGTCAACTTGTACTTGGTGCACTCTGTGGGCATTGACGAGCAGAATTGGGCGATCCTCACGCGTGTAGGAGCCAGACTCAAGGCTGCTGGCATGCCCTTCATCGTCGGTGGCGATTGGAATTGTACACCAAGTGATCTAGTCAAGACGTCGTGGGTCGATGCTCTCGACGCGGTCATCGCGGCGCCCACGGGGGGCACTTGCAGGCCTGCTATGCGCTGCATTGACTACTTTGTGGTGTCGCGCCAGATTGCAGGTCAGGCCAGGGCAGAAGTTGTACAGAATGTCCCCATCTCTCCCCGCCTCCCTGTTCGGCTCGTGATTCCCTCGGTTGAGCCCCTGCGTAGTGTTCGGTTCGTTCAGGTCCCCAAGAGGTTCCCCACGGAGTTGCCCATTGTTTGTCTTGGGCCCCCTCCTGAGGTTGACCCCTGGGACCATGTTAACGAGCTGCGTTCGGATCCTGATCTCCAGATCCAGGATCAGTGGGGCGCTTTTCTCGGGGCTGCTGAAGGCCATTTTTTTTTGTTTTCTCTCTCTCTCTCTCTCTCTCTCTCTCTCTCTCTCTCTCTCTCTCTTTCTCTCTCTGATTTCTGGGGACCAGTGCGACGATTACGTGGGGAGGGACAAGCCGCTTCAGGTCAAGTGGAAAACCCCGTCGGCCCCCAACCCCCCTCGGTTCCCTAAGTTGTCCCCTCTTGCCTGCTGGTGGCGCAAGGTGCAGAGCAGATCTCAGTAGGTCGTCTGCTGGCGCTCACAGGTCGCAACTTGTCGCAGCTGCAGGGCGCCTCTCTCGCTTTCACCGTCTACCAGAGACGGCCGAGATCGCCGCTAGGACGGCCATGCTGAGGCAGGTTTTGTTCCTCCCGTTGGAGTCGGCGCGGCGCCTCGCCGACCCTGCGAGCCGCGAGGCGACGCGGCTTCAACGGGCCTGCGCTCAGGCCAAGGAACGAGAATGGGGCAGTTGGGTTGACAAGCATTCGTCTGGGGGCATGTCTGCCTTGTATAAGTTCTCGGCCCTCCCTACTCCCTTTCAGCCTGCCTCCCTCTGTCACGGCACTCTTCGACCCTGCGCTTCGCTCGAGTCGATCGAAGCGCTCGAGGGCGAGTGGAAGCGTTGGTGGCAAGTCGGGGTCGAGCACCAACCTCTCCATTGCCCGGGGACCCCCATCAGAGGCCCTCGGTGGCCGAGCTTGCGCGAGCTCTCAAGTCTTTCAAGCCCTCGTCGGGCACGGGGTTCGATCAGATCTCCCCGCGCTCTCTCCTGCTCCTGCCGCATGCCGCTCTCGAGGCTCTTTGTGACATTGTGCACCACATTGAGCATGGGCGAGAGTGGCCCAGCATGTGGAACCGTATCGTTTCCATTCTTAAAAGAACGGGGGGTGTCAGGCCTTTGGGGCTCTTGCATGTCTTGGCCAGGGTCCAGCGTCGCCCGAGACGTCCTCTCATCAGGAAGTGGCAGGCCGACAACTTCAGGGCCTTCTTTTGGAGCACCCACGGTAAGGCTTCCGAAAAATGTGTTTGGATCCAGGCGGCCTGGTCTGAGCACTCTACCTATAAGGAGCGTGCGTGTGCCACCTTGTTGCTCGATTTAAAGAAAGCGTTTGAGTTGGTTCAGCACCATCATTTGTTGGCCGCCGCGAAGGCTACCAGCTTTCCGTTGTGGCAATTGTACCTCCTGGTCCAAATCTATCGCGCTCCGCGCGTCCTCGATGTTGGGGGTGCTGTGGGGTCCCTCCTTTGCGTTGAGCAAACGATTGTGCCTGGCTGTACTTTTGCCACATGTATGCTGCAATTGATTCTCTTGGGCCCTTTGGATGCCGCGCAGGCGGCTTGCCCTGCCGTGCAGCTGTCCGTCAACGTTGACGATTTTGGCCTCGTGCGTTGGGGCACCGAGCCCCGCGTGGTCGGCGACGTCGCAGCCGCAGGCCAGCACCTGATGCAGCAGTTGCGCCTGGTCGACTTAAAGTTCGCTCTCGACAAGTCTCGCGTCTTGAACAATTTCCCCGCGGTGCGTGCGTCCATTGCAGCTAAGTTGAAGAGCCTCCAACCCCTGCCCGTCAGGTCTGAGCGTAATCTCGGCGTCGACTATGGCTCGGGCAGAGTGGCCAGTAGGTGCACGGTCCGTGGGCGTGTTGACTGCATGAGGCCTAGGTTGGTCCGAATGGGTTTCCTCAAAGGCTCCAAGCCTCGTCGCCGCGTGCTTGGGCGCATGGCTCGGGCTGCTTTGGAGTCGTCGGTCCTTCTCGGAGCTTCCGTTATGGGTGCCAACGGGCAGGAGTTGGAGGTTCTGCGAGGCGCGGCTGGTAAGCTGCAGGACCACCGTCAGGATGGCAAGTCTCGGACGTTGAGCCTTCTTCTTTCCCCTGTGCCCCGCTTGGGCCCCATCTTTAGGGCCACTTGGTTGCCCGTGAAGTTTACCTCCACGCGCTTTGGCATCGTTGGTTACCCCATGAGGCCTTGGATTTCGGGCTCCGTGAGGCTCGCAGGAACCTGTCGGGGCTGGAGCACCCTTGGTCCTCCATTCGGGGCCCCTTTTGCGCCCTGTGGGCCTCGCTCAGGCGCGTGGGTATCACTGCTACTTCGTCCTCCTCCTGGATTTGGCCTGATGGGGCCGACGTCAACCCGTTGAACTACTGCCCCGTCACTGTTCAGGAGCTTGTTTTTCGTGCCGTGGAGGCGTGGCAGTATCGTAAAGTCGCCGAGCATCTTGACGTTGAGGACTTCGCCAACGGGCCGATCCTGGGACCCCTGAAGGCCCTCCTGGGCACCAAGAGTAAGTTGTCGGCCCAACAGCAGGGCCACCTCCGCAGCACGATCATCGGTGGGCAGTGGCCACAGAAGAGGCAGTGGGCCGCGGGTTATAGCACGACTTCCTCATGTCTGCTTTGTCCAGGAGGGGACGCTGCTGCATCGGCACTGCTCTTGTTCTCGCTTAGACAGCCTCGAGGGCAAGCCCAGTTTTTTAACTGCAGCCGAGGCTGCGGCTACTACATCTGTGCTGGCTGCACTCTTCGCCGAGCGTTGTCTTGTGCCGTTCCCCTCTCTGAGCCGCCGTCCTCCTGGGTCTCCGATTTGTTGGGGGCTTGGAGGGCCCTCTGAGTTCACGGGATATATATATATATATATATATATATACCGACGGTTCCGCTTTCGACGCTCAGTTTCCCAGCCTGGCAAGCGCAGGCTGGGGGTGCGTTGCTTTGCATCAGGACCGTCAGGAAGTTGTCTCTTTTTGCTCAGGACCGCTTCTGGACCCGCTGCAGTGCGTCAGTGCTGCCGAGCTTTGTGCAGTCATTAATGTCTTCCGCTTCGCGTCTCCGCCCGTGCGTGTCTTCACGGATTCGGCTTTCGTGGCTGACGGTTTTCACTTGCGTGGCCCAGAGGTCACCCGTGCGTGTGTCTCTGCGCACGCTCATCTCTGGAAGGAGTTCTGGATGCTGGTGGACGACTGGGGTGGGGGGTTCGAGATCAGCAAAATCAAGGGTCACGCGACCCAGGTCGATGTGCAGATTGGGCGAGGCACCTCTGCGCGTCACCGATACGGCAGTGCTAAGGCCGACGAGGCGGCCAAGAGCGCTGCCTCTTTCGCCAGGATACCTGAGGCTGCCTGCACCCAGCTACAGGCACGGTGTAAAGTCTTGCATGTCTGGGGATCCTGGATTGGGCGTCTTTCTGAGGGGCTCAGTAACTGTGGGCACCCCAAGAAGCATGTTCGCGGCTTGCCCCCAGTGCCCCGTTTGGTTCTCGTCCAGGATCCGGTCCCGACTGACTTGGTTAGTCGTGTTCGTGCAGCTCAGGAGAGCTGCTCAGGTAAGAAGCATGCCCTCGCGAAGTTCCAGCTGTCTGGTGGACCGCTCGTGGTAGGATGCACGCGATGCGCGTGCTTTGCAGTTTCGAGGCTTTCTGGTCTGGCGAGCCCGTGCCCGACCGTGGTCACTGATCACGCTCGCAAGACTTTGAAGAGGCTTGCGAAAGGAGAATTCAGGCTCAATGGCCAAGTCTATCGAATTCAGTCCTTGGTCAGGCTCCACGTTCAGGCGGCCCCGGAGGGTGCTTAGGTTTTCTACGCCCGTGGGCCCTCGCCTGGATGGGGGAGCCGTGTCCGCCCAGTGGGGCCGAAGGCGGTTGTAAGGTGCGCCTTCGGCCCTGCTTTCACTGCTGGTGGTGGACGGACTCTGCCCGCCCCCAGGTTGCGCCGAGGAGCTGGAGGAGGAGGTGGAGGAGGAGGAGGAGGAGGTGGAGGAGGAGGAGGAGGAGGTGGAGGAGGAGGAGGGACTCCCCATCCTCCCTTCTCCCCCTTCCTGCATATGGTAGTGGTGGTGGGACATTTGCCCATCACCCTCCCCGGGGCGGGGAGCGCGGTCGCGCCCCAGCCAGACCAGCAGCGAGCCCGGCTTGCCCGTCAGCGTCTGCGCGGTCGCGGCCACCGCCTGCGCGCTCGGGACCGCTGGTAAACACACGACGGGGACTGCTTTTCGAACACAGCAGGGGCCCGACCACAAGAAACCTTCCACGAAGAACCCAACCCCGAGACCCCAGGACGCCCATTGATTTTTTGGTGTGGGTGTGGGACGCATGCAGACGGTCCCACTGGGGGCTTCGGTGGAGCTCCGTATGGGGCCACGAAACGCAGTACTGGGTGGGTGGAAAATGCCAAATTGGGCTTCCGGGGCGCATGCGAACGGTCCCACTTGGGGTTTCGGTGGAGCTCCCTGCGGGGCCACGAAACGCTGCACTGTGTCGGTGAAAATGCAAAGTTGGGCTTCCGGGACGCATGCGGACGGTCCCGCTGGTGGCTTCGGTGGAGCCCCCGATGGGGCCACGAAACGCTGTGCTGGGTCTGTGACAATGCCAAATGAGGTTTCAGGGACGCGTGCAGGGGAGGCGGGAAGAGGAGGAGAAAGGAACGAGGGAGGAGGAACGCGGGGACCGTCTCTTCAAAACTAGGACCCAACACCACAGGATGGTTGGAAAAAACAGCGAAATACACGCACCGATTGGTTGTTGGCAGAGACTAAGGCGTCCCAGCGTTTTCCTTTCCGAAAACCAGCTGGGCGTCGACGTCATTGGATTGCCTGGGGGCTATGATTTTCATGCTTTCCTTGCGTTTGGACTAACTCCCTCCGGCGCCGCCTCCACCTCCCCTTCCAGGGGCGCGCGGGGGCCAGAAACCAACGAAAATCATCCAGGCGAGAGACTCAACCATATGCATGTGTGGGCACCGCAATTGTGAATATCGTCTTCGGTGAAGCTCCCTATGGGGGCCACGAAGCGCTGCACTGGGTGGGGGGAGCGCATGTGGGCGGTAGCAGTGGGGCCGTCGGTGGAGTTCCGGATTGGGCCACGAAGCGCTGTAGTGGGTGTGTGAAAATGCCAAATTGGGCTTGTGGGACTCATGCGGGCGGTTCCACTGGGTACGTCGGTGGCGCTCCCTATGTGGCCACGAAGCCCTGTACTCGGTGGGTGAAACCCCACATTGGGTGTCCAGGACGCATGCGGACGGTCCCACTGGGGGTTTCGGTGGAGCTCCCTACGGGGCCACGAAGAGCTAGCTGTACTGGGTGGGTGAAACTGCCAAAATGAGTTTCCGGGGCGCACGCGGACGGTCCACGGGGGGCTTCGGTGGAGCTCCCTATGGGGTGGGTGTATGAAAATGTAAGCAACATTACGCGTCCCGGACGGTCCCACTGGGGGCTTCGGTGGAGCTCCCTATGGGGCCACGAAGCGCTGTACTGGGTCGGTGAAACACAAGGGGGAGGGAGGAGGGGGAGGAGGGGGAGGAAGGAAGGAGGAAAGAGGAACGCAGGGACCTTCTTTCAAAACGACGACCCAAGACCACAGGATGGTTGGGAACAATCAGCCAACGAACAAGGATAACAACAAAACATCAACGCCCCCAAGCAACAAACACAAGTAAATGTTTAGTTTACGAAAAAACCCAAATTGTTTTTTTGAATCATTTACAAGCAGCTCCTAAGGCTTTCCAGCGCTTCCCTTCCGAAAACCAGTCGGGGCGCTGATGTCGTTGATTTGTTTGATTGGGGACTATGGTTTTCATTCCCTACCTAGGCTCTGCCTAGAAGGTTTCTTGCTCTCTTTCTTAAAGGGGCCGGGCACTGTAACCCGCCCTGGGCGGTTCCCCCGGTATCCGCCCCGCGGTTCCCCCAGTCCCCTGGGAGCTTTAGCATTAGCTCTAGCTTTAGCTTAGCTTTAGCTTAGCTTTTTAGCTTAGCGTTAGCGTTAGCTCAGCTTTAGCTTAGCTTTAGCTTTCGCTTAGCTTTCGCTTAGCCTTAGCTTAGCTTTAGCTTAACTTTAGCTTAGCTTTAGCTTAGCTTTCGCTTCCCTCCAGCTTAGCTTTAGCTTAGCTTTAGCTTAGCTTCAGCTTAGCTTTAGTGTAGCTTTTGCGCAGCTTTAGCTTAGCTTTAGCTTAGGTTTAGAATTAGCTTAGCTGTAGCTTAGGTGTAGCCTAGCTGCAGCTTAGCTTTAGCTTAGCTTCAGCTCTAGCTTAGCTTTAGCTGTTAGCCTCAGCTTAGCTTAGCTTTACTGATACTACTAATGCTGCTTCCCTATGGGCTCCAACTCCTAGGTAGGGTCGCGCCGGGATAATATCATGCCTTGCGTTTTTTTCGTGCGCGTGTGTATGCGTGTGTGTATGTGTGTGTGTGTGTGTGCGTGCGTGCGTGCGTGCGTGCGTGCGTGCGTGCGTGTGCGCGTGCTCGTGCGCGCGTGCGCGCGTTTTTGTCGGTTGTCGGCGCCCCCCCCCCCCACCCCCCCACCCCGCGCCCAGCGCCGCCCCGACCTCCTCGGACGAGAGGGAGAAAGAGAGAGAGAGAGAGAGAGAAAGAGACACAGAGAGAGAGAGAAAAAGAGAATAACAAAAAAAACCCTCCAAAAAAGAGAGACGAGACGAGGGAGAGACAGAGAGAGACAGAGAGAGAGAGCCAGAGACGAGGGCCGAGGGAATCACTGCGGGCGTACAACTGGACATCACATGTCGCAGTGAAAAGAAAAATCTGGTTCGATTCAGTTCACCGTGGCGCAAACATGCAAGCGCAAATCTTAGGAACCGCCCTTTCGATTTGTATTATAAACAGACACCAGCATGTCTATACATGCACTTCCATATATGCATGTATGTAAGTATATATATATATATAGATATGTATGCGTGTACAAATGTGTACGCACGTGTACATATATGTACACATACACACATATATATATACACACCGCATAGACCACCCTTCGGGTGATAAGGAGGGGAGGGGGGGGGGGAGGGACCAACGTCGCACTCGATTGATCTCACTATGGAATTCACGACCGATCTCACAATCGATCTCAATCGATAAATCTCACAGTCGATCTGACTATCGATGTCACAATAAATCTCACAATCGATCCCACAATCGATCCCGCATTCGGTCTCGCTATTGATCTCACAATCGATATCACAATCGATCTCGCATTCGATCTGACTATCGATCTCACTATCAAACTCACTATCGATCTCATTATCGATCTCACATTCGGTCTCACTATCGATCTCACTATCGATATCACAATCGTTCTCACAATCGATCTCGCATTCGGCCTCACTATCGATCTCTCTATCGAACTCACTTTCGATCTCATTATCGATCTCACTATCGATCTCACTATCGATATCACAACCGAACTCATAATCGATCTCACATTCGGTCTCATCATCGATCTCACGATCGAAATCACTACCGATCTCATTACCGATAGTGATGTCACTACTAACTCAATCGATCGATCTCACAATCGATATGACTATCGATCTCACAAAAGATTCCACAACCGATCTCACATTCGGTCTCACTATCCATCTCACTATCGATATCACAATCGATCTCACAATCGATATCCCATTCGGTCTCACAACCGATCTCACTATCGATCTCATTATCGATCTCACATTCGGCATCACAATCGATCTCACAATCGATCTCACAAGCGATCTGACATTCGATCTCGCAATCGATATCACTACCGATCTCACTATCGATCATCAAACCAAAACATCAACATCGTCATCATCATCACCATCATCATCAGTATCATCACCATAATCGGGACACCGACGGGGCACCGGCGGGGCACCGCGGGCCCCCGGCCGCCCGGAAGGGAGACATTTGGCCCGGCCGCGCCTCAGCCACACGGGACACCAGCGGGACACCGGCGGGGCACCGCGGGGCCCCGGCCGCCCGAAGGGGGACATTTGGTCCGGCCGCGCCTCAGCTACAGGAGACTTTCTCTCGCCCGCCCACGCAGCTTCGCCTCGCCCGAACGCACGGCGCGCACGAACACGACGCCGAAATCGATTTCCCGGTAAGGGGGCTCTCTGTTCCACTTCGATCTTCCCCCCTCACCTCCGATATATAAATAAATTGTTGTGTGTACATATATATATATACATGCATCTGGGTATGCGCTGATCTGCGTACATGTATGTAGTTGCTGCCGCTCGCCGGGCTGCCAGGAGCGAAAACGCAGGTTCCACATGGAAAAAACACTGCGAGGTCTCGGTGCGCCGGCGGCCCGCGGAGACCAGAGCGGGGCCAGCGCCCGCGCTCCTTCAGAGGGCGGCAAAGAGACACTGCGATTGCCGCAGAGCAGACCTGGCCACCCAGGTGGCCGCCGCGACCGCCGCGCGAAAACATTATCCAACGGGTGAGGGGCGCTGGGCACTCGGGAGAAGGCAGGTGGCATTCGACGGCGCTCGCTCCGAGCATTGGCTAAAACTGTCGTAGCAGAGGGAGCGCTTCGGGCAAACTCTGTTGAATGCGTGGCGGCCGATCCGTTCGGCGGGCCGGCGCCCCGCTGCCCCGGCCCCGAAGGGCGAGGTGGGGGGGGCCTGGGGAGGAGCAGAGACCGCGCGATCCCATGCAGAGCTTGCGCAGAGACGCGAGCCCCCGAGCATTCCAGGCCGCTAATGTGGCAGGCTTCTTGAGACGTGCGCCGCGTTGACACGTCCCCATCTTGCGATGGGCGCGACAGACTCAGCTTGGAGCTGCGTCATGGGCGGCGCGCGCCGCGTGAGCGACCCGCGCGGGCCCCCGAGGAAAACTGGACGGCCAGCGTCGACGCGAAGCTGGATGGGCCGACGGGCGAAGACAAAATGTCGATTTACGGTCAGCGGGCGGCCGCGGCGAGAGCCGACGAGGCCGGGCATGCCCATGGGAAACCGAATGGGCCACGTCGGGTCTCTGATCACCTGGGACCAAAGCGCAGGGGGCCGCCAGTCCGCCGCAGCCTCGGCGAGCAGCCAGCCGCGGACGACCGACTCGACGGCGGCGGAGAGGTCGCCCTCCAACGCGCCTCGCGACAAATCGACGTCCACGCGGCCGCGGTGACGGGCGCGGCCAGAAATCCGGCCCGCGCCCGCGAATGGCTCCAGGAAAAGGCA